AGTTTGAGATGCGACTCTAGTGATTGTGGTATAAACATGAAATAAGAGAAAGATTCATAGCSTCAATTATTTTTTATTATTTCAATATTTATAATAATATTAACAAAGGGGATGTTCTTTTTGCTGTTTTACTTTCTACTGTTAAAGCAATTGCATGATGATCTCGAATTTACAATACAATATTTAGGACATCATTTTGTGTAATAATTTTGCAGGAGGTAAAAACTTATAATTATTTTTAAAATACTATTTACATATTTCATTACATGATTCTTAGCTATTTCTATTATTATTACACAATRCTTTATTAGTATATCATGGGCCTTAACACATGAAGACCATTTGAGAATCATTTCTTTGTTTACCATTTATAACATTTTAAAATACTACTTTTTACGGTTCYGTTCAGTGATTACGAATAATAGTTCCAAGTCGAGGCTGGAGTGTGGCAACTCCAACCTCGGCTTATTCTATTATTCATGGTCACTGAACGGAACTGTAAAAAGGAGTATTGCTTGCAACAATAACAAACTTTATTCCACAAGAAAGAAAAAAAAAGAAAAGAAAAGAAAAAAAGACACATGGCCTGAAATGAATATTCATTAACCAAGCTTAAAATATTTATAGAGTTTGTCTTGTTTCCATTTTGTTTTTCTTTTATGGTTACCAGTATTATTTTAGAATTAAGTAATCTTATTTAAAAAATATATTTATATGGTCAAGTGATCACTAACTTGCTGTAGTGCAAACAGAAACAAAGGCCTAATTAAGTTAAAAGGATAAAGCCATGACACAAAAGTGGGAGTGATTATCAAATGGAAAACCCAAGCCTGTTTTACAGTTTGGTGATTTTTGTAGTAACTGTGTTACGTTGAACTTCAGAAGATGAAAATATAGCCTGCCTCGCTATCTTGTGACGATCACTTGACCACTATCATTAGTAATAGTAATCCAAATCTTAGTACTGACACTAAATATAACGAAACCAATAACAAAATTGAATGTAAATTGTATAAGTTTGGAGTTTTCAATCTTGAGAAAAATATATAGGTGTTATTAAAATAAAACAACTATGAAACTACATACCTATGGAAGTATCTTATTCTTAATACATAATCAACAAACTCATTAGTAATACATGAGACAATCACGACAGAAATCATGACCGTGAAGAGTTGTATATAAAATTCTGATACAGAATCATGTTCATTTGCATAAACTTTAACTTGTAACTAGGAACTAGCCTAGACATTTGTTAAGCAATATAAAATATTCATGTTCGTGTTGTATACAGTATGATATACAAACTCTCAGCTTTGCCTCAAGTTTATATATATGGTATACAACACGGCCACTCATACTATATATATTATTATTACTCTAAGATAATTTAACCACACCAAATATTCCCACCAATTCACTAGAACTATTACATGTAATATTCAAATAATTTTCAAGGGTAAAGGCTGGCACAYGTCCACACTAACCATGGGAGTGTGACACAAACCAAGAAAATCCTAGCTAGTAGATCCAGGAAAGGTCTAACTGTTGTCTGCCTACATCATGCCCTAATTAATGTGCCCCAACCTTTAACCTGCTTACTACAGATTATAAAGGAAGTGCATGTCAAAGTCCTGAAACCTTGCACCTTTTTACTCATCATGGCTACCCACACTTTCGAGAACTGAGAGGTTGTCCATTTGYGAAACATTAACGTGATGGGCGTTGTCTTCATAAATATCCATACTAGACTCCCCTTCCACATTTTCTGAGACAGTAGCTTCCGCAATAGATGAAGTGGCCATATTCTCATTACCATTCACATTGAAATTGTCAAAGCTACTGGCAATACTGACAGTGCAACTCCTAGGAGCAGGGATGAGGGAAGCGTGGCTGTCGTTGTCTGCTGTGCCGCGTGGTCCTATAGTACTGCTGTTGATACTTGAACATTCTTGACTCATGCTGACACTGGGCTGTTTACCACTTTCTGTGTCTTCAAAATAAAATGAATTTTTATTATTAGCATACTTTTGGGGATTGTCTTAACACTCTAAGCTGACTGCAAATTTCTAGTTTGAAAATAAACATTGATTAATTGCTTAATATTTTGCTCACTACATGTATTGACGTCTAGGTAGAGATTTAGTGCATGCATGGTTACTTATTTAAAATTAAATAAAATTATAACACCCTTGAGGAAATCCATGCATAATTATAATATTGTTTATTTGGTTATCTTAAATAATTTAGTACATAGGTAAGGCCAAATTCGGGCAAAATAAAATTCATAAAGAGAAAAAAATTAAATTGCATGAACAGGTTCTTTTGAAGACTCAACAAAGATTAAAATCATGAACAGTCTTTGAAATGAAAATAAATAAGGTTACTAGGATTACACTTATAATAGAAAAAGACTTTATGTTTTGGCTATGCTTGTGATAGTCCTCTTCCAAATGATGATAAATAAAAAATTATCTTAATACGTGGTCGTCACAAAAACCCCTAAAGTATTAGTCCTTAAAATGATTAGAAAAATGTCTTTCAATTATTATCACAGGAACCATTCATCACTAGAACCATTCATCACTATTCATCAATCATACATCCTACAAAACTAGAGTTGAAAAGTGGGCAATACACAAAAATTCATTTAAAATATTTTTTTTTAAATTCCTGGATCACAGTCATCTTTTTACAAATAAAATAAAATATGAATAAAAATAAAAATAAAGGAAAGAACAAATTAAAATATATGGATATTAAAGAAAGTTCTTGAAAGCATAAATATTATATAGAAATAAAACAGATACTATAAAATAGATGAAAAAATGAAGAACTTTCTATTTTCTAATGGATTGAAATGTTACTGTAGATATTGTATTAATCAAAATATAATGCTCTGCTACCCACGACAACTCAAGGTTTTTCAGTACAACACATTATTATTCTATTCCAATTTATTGAGGCTCCATAGAGTGCAAACAATTAATCCGTGAAACACTAATTACTAAATAGTACAAAATAGTGCTATTTGAACAATAGAAAACAATGGAATTTGCATGAAATTGTGCTATTTAGTATTACTAAACTTTCACGGTTATATTGTTTGCACTCTATGTAGTTGTAAAGCTAAAATAAAAATAAGAAACTAACCATTCCCTAAGTTATTTACAGTAGCCACCACAGTCACAACTCCTCCATTTTTGTCTGYGTTTTTCATGCTCCCCCGACTGCTAGATCTTGAAGCTCCAAATAGAAACCCTGAAGGCCCAGGAAAAGTTGGACGATCTTCACCATCAAAATCAATATTAACACCTTTACCATTTTTGGTAGTTGTAACTGTTGCACATCCACCACTGCGGCAGAGGGAAACAGGAACTACACCATAGATATATCCCAAAGCAATAGGTACTCCTACACCAATTGTCAAGGCAGCAAGGATAGGGGATATTATAACAGATATTGTCACACCACCAGTAATTGCTAGGTTACGTTTGTGTGCAGAGTGGAAAGGCTTCTCATATTTATCATGAATCTGTTGGCACAAAGTACATAAAATAAATCACTTGACAGCAAAGCCTAAATGTTTGTAATCCTACAATTTGTGTGTTGAGTGGAAAGGCCTCAAAATTTATAATGAGTCTGTTGGCACAAAGTACATAAAATAAATCACTTGACAGCAAAACCTAAATGCTTGTAATCCTACAATTTGTGTTTTGGGCGGAAAGGTTTGTTATATAAAGTGTACATTTTATTATGAATCTGTTGGTGCATTAAGTATTAAGAGCTCTTCGAAGAGGAAAGTAAATAGCAATTTTATTAGGATGATCTGTTGCTTAAAAGGATTTTAATACCACAAAAAATATATCCCACATACTGGGCAAATAACCTTATCCGTTCAGCAGGCTGTTTTTCCTCAAATCAATTAGGTAGATATAATAAATACCCACAATATAGTGTGCTTAATTGTTATTAAATAGATCGGTTTTTTAAAACAATTAGCTAGTCAGGARTGATTTCCTTATGGTAAAAAAAGTATGGATATTCTAATTCCAAAAAAATGAAATAAAATATAAGAACAGAAAAATCAATCTGGCAAGTYCCAGCATTTTACTTTTTTTGATTGCAATTCCATGTATTTTGTTTTGCAGTATTTTCTTGGATCCAATGAAAAAAATTATCTCAATAATTAGAAAGTTCATGGTAAAAAATGAAACACATATTGATCAAGGAAACAAAGGTAAAGAAAGGTATATCATATTTAAATGCAAGCACCAACTGGCAATAAGCTCTCAGCCAATAAGAAGTAAATATAAAATGTATAATACCCATCCAAACATAATACAATGCTTATAGAGGTCACGGCAAGTTATAAGATCTGTATGTATAGTATCTTTCCAGCTTATAATCTGCTTTTAAATATTTAAATTAAAAAAAGCTCTCATCTTACCTGTCGGCCAACATATACAGGTATCCCAATCAACATGGCCGGCAAAACAACTCCGGCAGCCAGGGCTATGCCAAGTGGTGCACCTATTAGAGTTCCTACTTGCCAGAGAATTTTCTTTTTCCTACTCCATGGCTTTTTACCCCAGAAAGTACAACCAGAAGGACTGTGAAAGAACAAAAAGCATTGACATTATTATACCTGGAAAGCAATAMTTTAAAGGCCACTTTTTTGGAAAAATTTATTGGTTAGGGTTTCAAATAGACTTTGAAGTAAAATAATTAATAATCAGTGAAATAAATGGATATCAAGAGAACGTAATTAGAATAAAGTTCCAATTTACAATTAAATTATCTGCCTAAAATAATTGGTAATAATAATCAGTGAAATGAATGGACATCGAGAGAATGTAATTAGAATAAAGTTCCAATTTACAATTAAACTATCTGCCTAAAATAATTGTTAATAATAATCAGTGAAATGAATGGACATCGAGAGAATGTAATTAGAATAAAGTTCCATAATTTACGATTAATCTATCTGCCTAAAATAATTGGTTTCAAAGAAGAGTAATAATCAACCGGTCGGAAGACTACATGTCTGATTAGTTCAAGGAGGGTTTATGGATTTCAAAGAGGTTTTTTAGTTCTGTCTGATTGTCTTTTATCATTACAATATCCTGAATACTAAGTTCTATGATTGCTGAATTGGAATTAAAAAGCATCCCTTAAATTTGATACTTTTCTTTTCATTAGAGCTTGTAGTAATTAGATACCTTATTCATATTTAATTTCATGCATACTTATTTTTTAAATTTTGGCAAGGCCATATTTTGCCAGGCTTGAATTTCACAATTCCAAATGGACCCTTTCATGTTTTGGTTTGGTTGAGTACTCCCAGATAGAAAAAAAAATGCTCCAGGGAAACAATCGAGCAATTGAGAAAGAGAGCTTTTCTATTTATAAATTGCTTGAATTCATAATCAAAAGAGGAATTAGAGCTGGCTGTAAGAAGATTGAAAAAATAGTACTAGGGAATAATCGAAAAAATAGTACTAGGGAATAATTGAAAAAATAGCTTTTTTTTATACATGCGATTTAAGATCACATCTTAAAATAATAACCGGTCACCAGATAGTCCGGCCAGAACTGGATCTTKTCTGTTCAAACCTTTGCCTAGAAAGTAATTTTGATCAGTAACGTTTTTCCAAGAAATAAGGTATGAACAAGCTAAAAGTAGTTTGATCATGGCCGGCAAATGATTGGCAGCTATTTTAAGCCCTGCATATGGTAATCCATTAACTACAAAGACTTGTGATGAATGGTCTTTTCTGCTTTAGCTGTCCAAAACAATTATTGTTGCCTTTCTGATTTTAATTTTATTTCATAAAATGTTTACTATTATCTTACATGTTAGGGTAATAAATTTAAATATCTAACACAAATACTCTACTGCAGTATTTGTGCTAGATACTTAAATTCATTATTAAAATAAATTTATTTATTATTATAAATATTATTAAATATCATTATTATTATTTCAGTTAACTTTTTTTTAAGCTAAAAARAAGGGCAACCAAGAGAGCAAACTGAATTTCTTACCTAAGATAATGTAAATCTGATATTTCTTTCATGCAAAGCCAACAGAACTCTGCTCCACAGACGGCACAGGTCATGTGATTACATGAGCCATCATCCATCTTGATAATAAATGCACCACATCTTGGACAAGGTTTCATATCATCACACCCATGAGAACTCCGACCCTCAGTTGACAGAGATTTGATGTGAGTTGCCCTTCTGTATCTCGCCATATCGCAAGTCAAATTCGGATGCCATAACTGTTTGCAGTGATAGCAAAACTCAGTATTGCAGTTTTCTCGCTGACATTCAAGCTTTGGGCAACTTGCACAGCCAGATGCAATAACAGCGTAACCACAATCTGGTGCTGGACACCAGCGACAGTCAGGATCAGAAACTAATGTGCGCCTTAATGTAAATTCATCATATTTGTTCATCAAACCATCATCATTTAGTATATGTTTTATATCATTTGGGTGAAACCTCTCAGAACATTCTGGGCAAGTCAGATTAACACGTGACTCATTAATCTCTATAGTCATATATTGTCTCAAGCATTCTATACAAGATCTGTGTTCACAGGTAGATATCTCAGGAAACATGCTCCGAGGGCGAACAACAAAACAAACTGGACAGATAACCATAGTTTCTCCACTAAGCTTTCGATTCTTTGTGACTTTTTCCAGCTTATTTTCACCCTTATAATTCCTAGAACGGCCAAATAAGCTACGCAGAGAGAATCTTCCATTACGCTCTCGTCTGCGTTTGGAGTCCTTTCGACTACCTGTAGACATTCGCCTTTGGCCTGCTGTGCATGGTCTTTTGGTTTCAACATCACCTTCAAGAGTCATAATTCAAGATTTCTGTTATCTTCCCTGTAGAGCTGGCTAAAAAAGAATATAATTAATGGAGATGAATAATGTAGGTTTGAGCATGAAATATTTCCCAAAGCTCGATCAAAGCAATTCAGGTGTGTTTTCTCTAGGGGRAAAAAAATAGGATGTACACATACATGTAGTAGCATATGCCTTGCATACAATCACATTAGAGTTGCAAAACAATGGCATTCATTAACAGGAAACTGAAGACAGTAACACATTGTCTGAGAAACAATAATRCTTCTAAAAATAATTCATCCCAATCTTAACCAGAAATCTTACATTCAAATTGGATGGAAAACCAGATAATTTGGATATTTAAGGCAGGTTTTTTTACAACTATAGATCTTTCTAGTGARGTTATAATTACAAACATTGCTTTGCTCATACAGTAATACATGAGTGGTTCCATAGTAGAACTATAATGGTGTTATTTGTTTAGGGATTGTTTTATTTCCTTTTTCCCCTAAAAAAATTCCCTTCTATCTCGATACCACAGATTACGTGTTGGACTTCTAATTCTTTGACGTTATTTTTTACTTATTTACCAAAGTTTTTGCAGCCACAATAACTTGAAGTACGTTATTGAGCAGCTGGAACGGATGCTTGGAACAGGATATAGATCTACGTAGTTCGTGTTATGGCAACAACAACGAAATATAATTTGGTACTGTAGTATCCAACTGGAGTCTTAGTACAGCAAAAATTTTAGTTATGACGAGAAAGATCTGAACGAGAATCATCATTAAGACTCAAACCACAAAACAAATACGCATTGGCTATTCGTACGGTAACCGTTCGCCGACTTGCAATTTCTATTCGTACGGATATTTAAATATTTTGATAATACGACAAAAATCGGAAAGCATCTAAGCGAATTCACTTAGGTTAAGGTTTAGGGTTGGGATAGGCATTGTAATATCTTTTGGTGCCAAGGGTGCCGGGTTCGAATCTTACCTGCCATTGAAAWTTTTTTTTTGTAAGTGAGGAGAASCAAAATCCTCGAAAAATTTCCGAGTCCCACACTATTTAAATCTCCGTACGAATAGAAATTGCAAGTCAGCGTACGGTTACCGTACGAATAGCCACTGCCACACAAAAAATAATAATTTCTTGAAGATTATTTGAGGAATAATTTTTTCACATTATACCAAAACAAATAATGAATTTTCATAACGACTTTACTAAACTACAAAGGTCATCCAAGCTATTTTCGATCTACGATTTAGGATTTAATGTGTGTTTTAATATGGATTCCACTTCATTTCAACGTCTTGAATATAAAGCTCTTACAGATTCTTTGGTTGTCTTTAAACATTAACCAAATAGTATCGTGAAATTCGAACAGTGTCTATATAACTTGGTTATTTTACTGTCATTTCACTATCGATTTCAGAAAAGTACTGCGATCGAACTTTCCCCCAAAAAATGTCAAAAAAACATTGTATAAATTACCAACAGCCTTTCCTTGCTGACTCTTTATCTGCTATGTAATTGTTCAGATGGAAGTGAAATTCAAATTCGTGTCAAGATCGTCCAGAAGAGAGTCACGTACGTACATGTATAAATGATTTTGTTTTCGTTCGTTGAACCAGCTTTGTGTTGCGAACGAAACCAAAATTTCACACCATTTTCAAACTATTAAAACCGCCCTTAGCAACACCCCTATCGAAAAATGACAAAAAACATTATGTAAGACAAGTAAAACCATACCTTTTTGTCGTCGGTTGTCGATGAAAATGCTAGAGTTGCCGAGCATATAATATGTGCTGGAAGTGGTAAATTTAGTCGTTGAAATGTTGTCACAGTCGCTGGCCTACGAGTCTGTTTCCTGACGAGTATTCGATCAATCGGAGTATTTCCAAATCTAGAAAGACGATCCTTCTTGGTTCTGAAAACTGTGTTGTAACGAAGGAAGGGCCAAGGCCATCCAGAACAAGAAAAAAAAACGACGGTATAAAGAGAAATACGATATACTGTAGACAGATTTAGACCAAAGGTTCAAGACAGAGCAGACAGTGAAGGTTTTGTTGCACTAATTCACCCCGAAAACAACCAACTCCGAGCAAGATATGTACAAAAATAAATGAATCTAGAATACTACTAGTTAGTTTACTAATTTACGACATTGAGGGCGTTGAGGTTTGGATTTTTAGCCAATTTTCGGGTAGAAATACAAAGAAAAGAAAGTATGTGGCTGAATGTTTTTTTAAGTAACTTGTCAKGTGACTTTGCCGTCAAAAGACGTCACCAGGTTTCCATATTTGGAAAGAAATTAGCATATYTTAACGGTCAAATTTTTCCGTCCGTTGAATTTTTACTCCTTTCCTTTTTATATTACTTTAACTTATTTCCTTTTTTTCAATTAAAAAAATCATCCATGAAAAAATTAATTTCCCAGTAAATAAGSTCTTTTGTTTTCGATAATAATGTTTGTCAAGTTCTTCACAGCACGTACTTTCAAAAGTGCAAAAGATCGTGGGTTGTAAATAGGATATTCAAAACTTGAGCTTTTCTTTCCGTTTATCCTTTTCCTGTTATTCTGTTATTTCAAAATATTTTGCATCGATCTTGCTTCGTTTTCAGCTAAAAAAGAACGTCCTAAAATGTTTGTAATAACGAAATAATTGATTAATTGAAATGAAAAAAGGATCATTAATGCTAAATATGTAATCAGTCATCATCATCACAATAATAATATCAATAATAATAATAATAATAATAAGGATATGATAATGATGATCATCATGATGATGGCGATAATAATATTATATCATAGAAATTATTTATCACTAACACTTTCCTAGCTCATAAATAAAAGTCGTCATATAAAAATACTGTTTGGAATTTCCCCTTCTTCCGCAGAACTAAATTAAAGGTGTGGAACTGATAAATAGAGGGATTTTCGTTATTCAACTCCCTCGTACTATAGTCTTTGTGCAGTTCGGCTCGCAGCAGGCTAATTCTTACGACCCTGCTGTGTTGTTAAGGAAGTAGAGGGGGTGAGTCAACGCCATACTAGAACTTGATCATACGGAAACGAGGGCGTCCACACTGAGAAGAGAGGCCAATGGTTTAACCCCCCCCCCCCCCACCACGGCTATTTTTTTTCGTAGGAAGCAAAACTTACTTGCATCTGGACTACGAACAAAACCCATTTACGCTCAAAAATGAAGAATCTTTTTAGGAAACTGGGGTTTCGTGTTTTTGAGACATAATTTGTATGKGCTCACATRAGGGGGCGTGAGCTTGAAATCGTAGCTGACCAAATATTAACAGATTCTTTCTGATGACTATGAACTACRAACATTATGAAGGTTTTGGTGCTTCCTTCAAGATTCAAGCAATAAAACAGGCCATTCAGAATACATAGCCATACATTCTTTATGGGCTTCCCTCATAGGGGCTTTTCAAATAATTTAATTGTTTCTTCGACATAAATCTTGAAGAAACAATAGAAATGTCATGGTATTAAACTGATTAACTATCAGTGTTTTGAATATCTATATACTCCATCCTACCCACCTGGTTTACTAATAACTTTCATTTCTATTGAATTACTGATCAGAATCACCTTTTTAAAAATCTTGCTGAACAACATGACCCCCCCTTATCTCTGTGCCTAAAAAAACAAAAGCCCCCCCTCTTTACTAATTTAGAATAGCCTTGATAAATAATGATAAATAAGATAAGATAAATAATGACCGGTCCCTAAAACTGTTCAAGAAACCCATTAGCTTCTTTTATCTTAACTCAGTCCAACCACGCACTTACGCCTCTTTTTCAAAACCAACTCAATTTATGTTAGATTATTTACTTCAACGCTCATAACAGTTTCAATTATTCAATAAAAAGCGTAGGATATAATTATTTTGACGCTCTCCAGAGTCATACAAGTGTAGGATACTAAGTTGACGCTCTCTAGAGTCGATCATACAAATTAGTCAGTAATCATACGATTGACGTCATGCGTCTCTTACGCATGTTGGAATTAATTTACTGAAGGTGAAAAACAAATTATGAAAGAAACCGCGGAGAAAAATACTCAAAATTAAGTATTTTTTCCACAATTGCCGGTAAATCCAGGGAGTTGTACGTCTGGTCACATCTGAGCACAGGTAGCCCAATGCAAGCTTAGTTTCTGTGGTGTCATGTTATGAGGAAATGTATGGRGATTCTTCAAAAATTTCAATAAAAATCGAAATCTGGTCCAACGAAGGGCGGGGATTATCGTCGTATATTTTATAGGGGGTTGAAATCGTAAATCACTCTCACTCTCTTTTTGGGGTGAAAAAAAAAAACCAGTTGGTTCTTCAAAGTGGCATCCCCGCCCTTATTACATATTCTTTATTTGTATTTATGACTTAAATTTTAGCACGGCACGCCTGAAAAGCTGTGTAATTAACTGAGTCGTTAACCGTGGGTAAATAAAATTAATTAATTCATAATAGCGCAGCGCACTGATTCTAAAAATAGCTTAAAGATTCGGACAAACATTGCATTCTGTTTAACCGCTACGAGGATTATACGAACCGATTTCATTATTTTTACTTGARGTTACAATAATAACCCATGTAAACTAAGATCAACTGCGATTGGCTGTGAAAATTATCTGCTGAAAGTAAACTTGTAAGTTTGTTTGTCCGAATTTCGCCTTTGTCTTCGTTTTTATGACGTCACGGTTGCGCTGCGCTATTCAAAGTTAATTCATGGGAGTACACCCTTCCCCCTCCCCCCTCCGCCTCACCCCCTCTCCCCCCTCACCACAGACCCGAACGAAATCATAAAATAAATTTATATGCCAAATGCACTTTGGCTTCTGATTCAATGTTTAATTCCGCTTGGAAATTTCTTTGCTTCCAGAGCAAGCTAACAAACTGATTTATTGATGAAACATCAAGCCATAGTGGCATAAATGAAATGCCCTGAACTAACTATATATAGTCCACAGCGTGTYTCTGCTCATGTCTCACCACGACACGACGTGGGAAGGTTACTCTWCTCAGTTTGCCTCTTGTTTTGTTTGACACCATACAGCATGTTATTTCAACTAGATAGCGGGTATATGGTGGGGTTTCTCAATTTGGAGAGTCTCAGAGTGTTGTTCTGAACAAATTTGATACTAATCCAAAAATCGGGCCTGCCACCCAAGTGTGAAACTAATAGTGRATTGAGTTTGCATTGAGACACGAGAACAACATTTTCGTATGTAAACCAGACTGATACATTAGATCCCCTAATTTGGACTAAATTATCAAAGGCCATGTTTATCAGTTATGGCATACTGTTTACTGATAAAACTGGATCTGGTTGTTAGTGCGCATTATCTTGGACTTAGATTTCACTATCCTCTTAAAGTCCCTTGGCACAGGGTGAATAGGTAATAAGCCTAAAGCGAGATGACGTTTTACTCCCGACTCTATACCATAATAGTTTTTAAAATTCTTTCATATTAAAWTTTTTTGATTCCTTAGAGAATACAGGAACAATAGTCATAATTAAAAAACAAAAGCAATGGGAACAGGATTATGGTCTAGAGACGGGGGTAAAACGTCATCTCGCTTCAGGCTTATTACTAGTATGTATATACGAAAGAAATTACAAACAGCACGATTATATACTTTGTTTTATCTTTGATGAACAGCCACTGGCTTAGTATGATACCTGCCGCACAACAGGAGACTCTGAGCAATCCCTGCGTGAACCATATGCATGCGTRCCTGTTCAAACGTAAGCACGATTTTTAGTTATTGTCATTTTCAATACGCATGTACCTAATCTTTTCTTTGAGGCAAGAATGTGCGCACAACAAAATGGCTGGGGGGAGACAGGACAGCGATTTTTCSTAGGTCACCTAGGTGCATGGAAGATATTTTAAAATGAGGACGAGTGCATTTTCATATGAAGGAGGTAAACATTCATTCATTCTGTGCAGGAAACTCGCTCTCAGGTATTTAATTTGCGATAATTCACTTATTTTTGTCAGATGGAAGGCGGTGCATATATAAGAAGATGGCAGATAGAAGGAGGTGGCAGATAGAAGGAGGTGGCAGATAGAAGGAGGTGGCAGATAGAAGGAGGTGGCAGATAGAAGGAGGTGGCAGATGGATCTTGATTTCACTAGTTAACCTAAGCATTGAATCAAGTACAAGTAATGTTGTATGTATGATTGCATGTAAGTAAAACGTTTGCGTGACCACAGGTTCGTGACACTTGAAAATATACGCGATTCATTTCATTAAACATGCTACAAAACATTTGACATTTCTGTCAAATCAATCGATCATATGTGCAGGTAACCCATTGTTTCAGAGAGCTCAGCAAAACACCTCGTGCTCTAGTCTACATCATTAGCATAAGTTGTCAGATTGCTAGGTATAACACCAAAAGATGCCTGTTTACAAACTGCATTACTTTAACTCTCGYGGTCGTGCAGAACCAACTAGGCTCATTTTCGCTGCTGCTGGAGTTCAATACGAAGATATTAGATACACACCTGAACAATGGCACAAGATAAAACAAGGTACAATAATTTAATTTTAGTTCAAATCTGTACATAATCGATACTTTTTGAGTTAACGTTGCTCGTGATTCATAAATCAGAAGAAATAAGGGAACATGCTTTTGTACACCCCAACACGTGTAAGTCGTAAAAAGAAAGAAAAAAGCCRGAATGCATGCATGACTTATAATTTGATTAAAGTCACGAGCATGAAATGGTGTTTTCTCTGCTTTTTCTGTGTGAAGTTAATAGTCCYCTTCACAGAGTTCCCTGCGCCATCTTGAAAGGTAGCCGTGCCGCATCGAAGCGAGACGAACGGTGAACTTGCAATGATAGAGACATGTGAATAAGTGTACAAGGCGTTAAAAAATGGTCTCTATCATTGCAAGCTCACCGTTCGTCTCGCTTCGATGCAAAGGCACGGCTACCTTTCAAGATGGCACAGGGAACTGCGAAGGGGACTATTACAATACGAAGCAGGGGCGGCGGAAGCTGAAAAATTTGGGGGGGGGGGCACTCCAATATTTCACGGTACCTTGAAATGACCCCCCTCCCTGTTTAGCTTGATTACAAACGTGTATGTGTGATATTTCAATCAGTAACATTTTGCGCGCATTAAACCACTTGCAATTGTGCTGAGAGACACAAAAATGATGCAAGTCGTCGCTAGATATATCGTATGTTTTTTAGATACAGAAAATTATGTAATATCAAAATAATAAATAATTGTAATCATAACCAAATCTTATGCGTTTTTTTTTTTGTGTGAGGCATTATATTCTGGGGGGGCCAGGCCCCCCAAAAAAATCTAGTGGGGGGCCCAGTGCCCCCCCGGCCCCCCCGCTTCCGCCGCCCCTGCGAAGGAGGGCGCAGCATTTTTGAACTCGAAGCCTCAAAGCCAGGAACCTATCGTATGTACGGAAAATATATTATTATTTCTGAAGAAATGTATATGGTACCGGGCAGCGCATGCCCGGTGAGCCTCGTTTTCATGTATTTCATATACAGGTTTATTACGTTGCTCATATTAATGGCGCGATAGTTGGTTGATGATTTAGATTTGAGTGCATCTGGCTTACGATCATCCTAGTACGAAATGGCATCCTCGATACTTGATGATGGAGAATACTACAAAAAGAGCTTTGGAGTATTTCTGAAGAAAACTAATAAGGGAGAAAAAGATAAAGAAATCATTAAGCTCTACCTTCCAAATGTTGTAAGCAAGATACTTCCACATCATGATGAATCTCAGTTTAATGTTTTAAGTATTGGATGTGGAGATGGAGAAATGGATCGATACATTGTGGGCGTCATCAAAGAAGAGCTACAAAGGCACGAGAAACACAAAAATACCAAGATATTTACACGTGCGATCGATCCTAACGACCATTATGTTAGTCAATACAAAGCTTACATCGATAGGTCACGCAATGATGACCAATCTTTCTTCAGTGTTTCACAAAAGACATTTGAAGAGTACAAAAAAGAACAAATGTCCAAGACCAAGCAGGCAAACGAGGAAGAAAAGTTCCGCATTGTGCACTTCATACATAGTATCTACTATGTTGATCCAGAGGAGGCTTTGGCCTACTGTTTAGAAAAGGTGTTACACGAGAATGGCCAAGTGGTTTGTGTCGTCGAAGGTTGTGATTTAGTATCAAACGCACTCGTTGAAATGGCGATTCCAGTCAGGCAGGTTAGAAAGCATTCCCCTTACGAGTCATATGCYGAGCAACTCAAACAAATTGCCGAGAAGCGAGGATGGAAAGTGGATCTRCATATGCAGATCTATTCCATGGATATTACTGAGGTCTTTGATGAGAAATCAGAAGAGGGAAACTTGTTACTTGATTTCATGACCAAAGTAAAGAATTTTCGCGCCATAACTGAAAAAAACAAAGTCGAGGAAATACTAAAGTTGATTAAAGAGTTATCGAAAGTCACGGAGAATGGAAAGCGTTTGGGCAAAAGAAATGATGGAATTATGTTCATTTATAAAAACTAGTCAAGAGTATTTTATTTTAGGTTTCATAGCTTGGCTGCTGTAATATATATATATTTTTACAGCTAACCAAACTAATAGAAATTTTTAAGAAATCAAAAGATTGAAACTCTTTAATTTGCAAAACGTATTTCGACAGTGTCTTCTCACAATCGTCAGTTGCCACTAAAACAATTTAGTCAAATCCAACTAGCGGTCTATCATCAATGATGCGTTCTGATTGGATGAGCTACTACTAGACTTTACTCAATGACTAATTGCTAAAAAGCTATATATAAATAATAGAACAAAAGAATAAAAATATAGCTGATAAATAGTAAGCGTTAAGTTAATACCGTAAATCCTCTATTTAGCCCCCCGGGGGGCTTATTTATTTCATGCACGTTTGAGGGAGGGCTTATTGGAGAGGGGGGGCTTAATTGAGAGGGGGGGCTTATTGATTTAGTCTAAATGCAGTATGTAATATGATTGTAACTCAGGATTAAACGGAAGCATTACTATTGACCGTCTCGCATAATCTGTAGTGATGTACATGGCATTTTTATTATTTGATTCACCTGTGTTAGTCTCTCAAGTATAATTTACGATTATTGTGAATAGCAAAACTAAAACACGGTAACATT